CCGTTGAACCTGAACTAACTTATGGCCATTTCCATTTTTGCCAAAATCGAACGTTCAAATCCCTCCCATAGGAATAATAACTGTATGCAATTTGAAACATGTGGGTCAAACGGTTCTTGAGTTATCGTTGACCGTAGGCAGACACTGAAATGCATACTGAAATTGGCAAAATCTACCTAATTTGCATAATTTTGAGAAAACATCAAAACCCCTGTGATATGTTTTGGGGCCAGTCCTTATTCATTCACATACCAAAACTTGGCAAAATCCGTTGAACCTGAACTAACTTATGGCCATTTCCATTTTTGCCAAAAAGTGGGCGTGGCTCAAAAGTAGATCAACTGGCATGCTCCAAAATAGCACGTTCAGTTCTCTTCCATAGGAGTAGCAACTGTATGCAATTTGAAACATGTGGGTCAAACGGTTCGCAAGTTATCGCTGACCGTAACCAAATGTTGACGGACGGACAGACGACGCCCCATGGCAATAGCTCATCTTGACGATGTCAAAGTGAGCTAAAAATTTACTTACCTTTACTGTAGTTTTCTCTTACGACTGTCGTCTGTTCACTAAAGCCTGAATAGGTTCGGTAGCCATTAGTGTAGAGAATGTACTTGTCCAGTCTACCGTTTAATAGGAATGACTTGCTCCAGTCCACCACAAGGGCTCTATCTTTTGCCACCACAGTGGGTTTAGCCACATACTCTGGCCCTAAATGCAGACCGTGTAAGTTGTTGTTTCTCTCTATACACATATATACACATAGAATTTATTACCAAGTATTTTTCGCTATTATATCATGAATTATTATGAGTTTAAATTTTAATGCTACTCTTGTACATTAGACGAGTAAATCATTTGTCTTTTTTATAGACACGTTCCTACGAAACCCAAACAGACTGCCAATGCAAACATGCCCTACCACATGCTGACCCCCCCCCCCAATCACAGAGACAGTCCATCCCCTCCCTGTTTAACGTTACCTATGTGTCTCATTGTCAAGGAGACGGCACAGCTGTTTAACGTTACCTATGTGTCTCGTGTCAAGGAGATGGCACAGCTGTTTAACGTTACCTATGTGTCTCGTTGTCAAGGAGATGGCAGAGCTGTTCATCGAGCCGGCACCATTGTAAGCGTGCACCTGCACCAGGTAGTTGGTGTACGGTGCCAACCCTGTCACGTTGAGCCTCATCTGCTCCCCGCTGTAAGCAGTCACAACGTCGCCGAGGCTGCAGGGTAGCTGCTGGGGCTGCGAGGAGACGGGGCAGTCCGTCCGATACTTCAGCTCATACCTGCAAGGTGCACATGCATTAATTAACAGGTGTGAAGAGGTAAATTACCAGGCGCAAAGGTGTAAATTGCGAAGATGTCAACAACAGATTGACTGAAAGTGTCAGAGTGTCTGGAATTCAATTGAGAATAATTGTGGAATTAACAATTGTTGTAAGAGCAAACAACTCGATCCCCACTCATACAAACCGCACTATGACAGGTTTGAATGACAAGAAATCGAACTATCGATCACCGTAATTCATGACAGATTACATACAATACTGGACTGACGACGATTTCAACTCAAACTCAATGTAAAACCTTGACTCAAATTTCGATATAATACTGGACCAACAAAAACCAACAAGACAACTTAAAGGCATAATAGGCCCATTGATTATGCAATGTTGACGAATGCTAGAGTAACTGGCACCTTGTGTAGTTAATAAGTACATAACCTTACATCCAAACGGGTATTAGTTTGTCCAATATATCACTGCTGGTTACTAAGCAATGTCTAATTGAAATCCACAGTCAAATAAATCAGTTGTTTACAGTTTCAAACCGCTGCCGCCGAAGCGGGTGTGATGCAGATTATAGTGTACCTGACATTTTCGCACACATGCTCGGACGTACGCAATGCTATCATCAGTGATTTCGATCCTCGTGGTCTGAGTGCGCATTCCGTACGTTATGGTTTTACTCTTGAGAATAAATGAAGATACGAAGATCTTGAGATTACAAGCAACATATAATATGTGAAAAAGAATATTAGAACCCAATTTGACGAATCGTACGAACCTGCGTACAGCAAGTTCATTACACTATGAAATGGGAAACACGGACTAAACACGTAAATGGTGCAGAACACACGAACGAAAACTGACGGACACCCACGAACTATAAACGGACAGCCCCGATAAAAAGGTTATCTCCGTGCCTTATCATTTTACCTTTTTTTTTTTAAAACTCTGTTCCACAATTATCCTTAAGGAATTGTTATATGGTCACAGCACGAACGCTTCCTACGAAACTCTGTTCCTTTTGAACAGAGTTTAGAATGGAATACTGGCTTGTATATATGGTATTCGTGGACTTCAAAAAAGCCTTCGATTCTATAGCTCGGGACATGCTCTGGAAGATCTTGAGCTACTATGGTGTCCCAGCAAAGATCATCAAGATGATCCAGGTTCTTTACGAAAGTTTCCAAGCAAGAGTAATACATGAAGGAAAAATGACCGAGTCCTTTGAAATGATGACGGGAGTCCGACAAGGGTGTCTGCTTTGCTCGCTCCTCTTCCTGGTGGCATTAGATTGGGTAAACAGACAAGCTTATGGTGATGGCAAGACCGGGATACAGTTTAGCACGTTTAAAAAGCTTGAAGACCTAGAGTTCGATGATGATGTAGTTTTGCGGAGCCAAAAGATCACTCATGTGCGACAGAAATTTGAGGCTCTCCAAGAGCACGCAGATAAAATCGAGCTCAAAGTGAATGCATCCAAGACGAAAGAGATGAGGATTGGAACACCCATAAATTGAAAGGAAATTGCCTGCAGAGGAAAGACGCTGCAGCTATAACCATGTAAACCATATCATGACCATGTGCTATTGTCGACGGTTTTTGTGTGATTTTATTGAAATTTCCATGTTGTAATATGTTCAAATTACGTTTTCCGCGTTTTTCCGTTTGAAAACAATCTTTTCCATTTCCAATGGACGTTTCCGTGTTTTCTGTCCGATTTCCGCGATCGCGGAAAATCACTGTCCCTATGCCTTCACATATCTGGGCAGCATATTAATTGTCACAACAACCGGAAGAACGGAGGAAGATGTCGAAGCTAGATGTAGGAAAGCACAAGCTGCCTTCTGTACACTGCGATCAGTCTGGAGATCTCGGTACATTTCTTTGTGCACAAAGCTTAGAATCTTCAATTCGAACGTAAAGTCCGTCCTATTGTATGGATCAGAGACATGGCGGTTGACTAAGAAAATCATCAACAAGCTCCAAGCCTTTATTAATCGTAGACTCTGTTAATTATGTACTTGGAGTCTTCTGGCCATTATTAATATCAAATGAAGACTTGTGGCAGCGCACAAAACAAGAGAGAGTTGAAGTCACCATCAGGCGTAGAAAGTGGAAATGGGTTGGTCATATGCTCAGAAAACCTGCGAGTAACATCACACGACAGTCCCTGGAGTGGAATCCACAAGGAGCTCGGAAGAGAGACAGAACGAAAAAGTCATGGAGAAGGACCATCAGACAGGAATATGAAGAGACTGGAATGTCTTGGGAACAAGTGAAGCGGACAGCTCAAAACCGAGTCCGATGGAGGAAGACTGTGGAGGCCCTATGCTCCGGTCGGAGCGAAGAGGATTGATGATGGTGATCATTTTACCTTATCATGAGGGTCCATGATTATTACGTACATGCAGTATCTCTGCGCACTGGTAGATCATCTCCAGCTGTTACCGTTCAGCTGCTTGAAAGCTCTTGCCGCTGTATTGCACTCAGCTGGCATGCTAGCGATAATTGTAACGAACGTGGAACCCACGTACGAAACACGGACCACCACTGGCACCTCCATTTCACAAATGGCCGCACAAATGTTTACTCAACTCTGGAGTTGATGTCACGTGACATTTATGTCATCGCTTGACTCCTGGATGACATTTACGGCATGTAAATGATACGTTGATAAATATCAACAACCGATTTCAAGTCTTGTAACCAGCAGTGATATTGGACAAGCTAATACGCGTTTGGATGTAAGGTTAATTTATGTACTTATTAACTACACAAGGTGCCAGTTACTCTAGCATTCGTCAACATTGCATAATCAATGGGCCTATTATGCCTTTAAACCTAGACTCAAACTCAATCGAACACACAACCTCGATCCGCTCCTCGTCACTGACCTCGTGATGACCCCATTCGGCTGCGCCGGCGACCCCCAGGTCATGATCGCGCTCGTCGGCGTGACCTCTGCCACGATTGGTTGCAACAGGCCAGTGGGCGGGGCCTCGGCCGTGCGCACGTGGGCGGGCGGGCTCGTGGAGCATCCGCCGGCCGTGCAGACGGTTGCCGTGATGACGTAGATGGTGTGAGGGTGCAGCGGCGATCCGTGTCCAACCGTCCTAATCGGCGCCCTGCTCGCTGGCTCCTACACACACAGACACGTGGCACCATCTATTGAGCACGCCATCTACTACACGCACAGACGCAGACATCACACTACTACTATGCATGCAGACAATGTATATATATATTTGCTAAAAATGCAGATTTGCTTCGTTTAATGGACTCGCCTGTGTTAGATAATACATAACACTCCTACATATAAAATAAAACACATATATAAATATATATATATATAACATATAACATAACAATATATATTTGTGAGAGAGTGCAGACTTGCTTCGTTTAATGAACTCGCCTGCGTTCCGTTGATCGTTAGGTAGTAGCTCGTGATGTCGCCGTTGGGTTGCTGCGGTGGCGCCACCTCCACGGTGATGAGGTTGGCGGTGACCTGTGAGAAGGTGGGAGGGCTGACGCGCGTCGGCGCAGCCTCGTACGTGCGAACCATGTCCCAGATGCTCGCCACGCTGCCGGCCCTGTTCACCGCCGTCACCTACGCACGAGAGAGGAACGTTACACCGACGATTAAAAAAAAAGACGTCCTAAATTTAGGAGTTAATAACTTGTTTACCACTGTCACCCACGTAATAGAATAAAATGTTACGGTGATGAGGTAAATTTGCCGTATGTTGTGGTTTATAAGACACTATACAGATATTCAGGAAAAATGATATGCTGATGATTTACTCTGAACACAGCACCGTGTGTTAACATATCACATTCACCCAGCACTCGCACTCTGAACATGACGTATCACATTTATCATGTATCACATATATGTATCACATAATTCACCTTGTTCTCATACGTCTGAACATGACACCTTGTACTACACTCACCCTGTACTCATATTTTGAGTAAGGTTGTAGCAACTGGTTCATGTATACCACTCACCCTGTACTTGTATACCACTCACCCTGTACTTGTATTACACTCACCCTGTACTTGTATTACACTCACCCTGTACTTGTATTACACTCGTTTAGTAACACTACCCTGTACTTGTGTTACACTACCCTGTACTTGTGGATAGAAACATACCCGGAGGTCTGTGGCTGCGTGGCGACATCACCCTGTACTCTGGGCGTACTGGCACATGACCTGTACTTGTATGTACACTCACCCTGTACTTGCTAGACCATTACCTGTACTTGTATCCACTCACTCTGTACTTGCTATTTCATCACCCTGTACTTGATACACTCACGCTTACTTGTAGTTACACGTCACGCTGTACTTGTATATCCATCACCCTGTACTCGTATTACACTTCACCCTTTGCTTGTATACACTTACCCTGTACTTGTACTTAGCAGTCCCCATGTATTGGTCTTACCTGACTGTATCTGTATACCACTCACCTGTAGCTTCGTATTACACTCACCCTGTACTTGGAGAGATATACACTCGCCCGTGTACTTGTATTAAACTCACCCGCTGTACTGTGGGAGAGGATTATAGAAAGACAACACGGTGTAGCTCGCCGATGGGTGGACTGGGGGGTAGTTAAACTCACCTGTACTGTATCCACAGCAGTCCATGGCCATGTGTATCCACTCCCGAGGCAGATGATCTAATGTGAAAGTGATTACCACTCGTACATGTGACGTACCTTAGCTATGCGTAGCGGTCAACACCTGTACTTGTGGACGTTACGAACTCACCTGTACTTGTTACACTTCATCTTTAGTTACTACTGAATATACCAATCTAGCATGTACTGTGAGTTGGCGTATACCACTACCTGTTACTTGTATTACGCTTCACTGAGTGACTGTCTATGACCGACTCACCGATGTACTTGTATTACCAGTCACCTGTCTTGTTCCACGACTGTACGCATATACTACTGTACTTGTATTACTCACCCTGTATTGTTATACATCACCCTGTACTTGGTATACACTACCCCGATGAGGTGGCTGGTATTACACTCACCTCGTACTCGTTTGCACTCACTCCGCGTATGACATATACACGCCTGCTCTGATGTACTCTGGGATAGCATCGTGTGTAATTGTTTACTCCCCTTCCTTGGTGATGATCCGTACCTGTACTGTGTATACATCACCCGTGCGCTCACTTGTATTACACTCACAGTGTACTGTGTATGACACGCGGACGCGTGATACGGTGCTATCCCGCACCCGTGTATTTCGGCGTTATCCATCACCCTGTAGTGTTTACACTCACGGTATTGTATACACGTCGCGGCGCTGGGTGTACTTGTATACCATCACCTGGTATTGGTATACCCTACCTGTACTATATACATCCCGTGTACTTGTATTCTCACCCTGTACTTGTATACACTTACCCGGTACTTGTATGTTATCACTGTATTGTATTACATCACCTGTTTTGTATTACTCACCTGTATCATTTACCGGGTCACCTGTATTGATATACATCCTGTACTTGTATACCACGCCCTGGGTACTTGGTTACCACTCACCCTGACTTGTATTACACTCCCTGTCTCTTGACGTATACCTCCGTGTACTTGTATACACTCACCGTACTTGTATACCCTCCCTGTAATATATACCCTCACTGTACTGGTATTACACTCACCCTGTACTTTTTACCACTCACCCTGTCTTTGCTACTCTCACCACTCACCGGGTGTCTTGTATACACTCCTGTACTAGGTATTACCACGTCACGCCTGTATGTGTGGTTACACTCACCCTGTAATTGTTACCACTTCACCTGGACTCTATACCGGCTCCTGTACTTGATATACGCACTAGACCCTTTGATTTAGACGTTTTATGCCGGGTAATAACCACGCGCACCGGATTCCGTTGTGCTTATGCGCTGGTGCTGTACTTCTGTCACTCACCGGTATTGTATTACAGCTGTATTGGTATACCACTTCACGCTGTATTGGTATATACACTCACTGTAACATATACCCGCTCACCCGTACTTGTTATATGGCAGCCTGGTATTGTAGTACAATCACCCTGTATTGTATTACAATTACCCTGTATTTGGTATTACACTCACCTGTACTCGTATGCGCGAGTAAGTCGTAACAACGGGTCCTTGTCCAGGGCTACGGTCTCATCGTCCGTTGTAGATGAGGAGTGCGTGTACATTCACCTCGCCGGCTGACCTCTACGGTCGTCTACTCCAGGGGCTCTAATACTGCACTCCGTTCGCTTCTCGGCGTGTCCCACGTGACCAGGCACGCGTCGTGCGGCGTCTGGTTGGTGCGGCTGGATGGATTCGGCGGACTCTGCCCGCAGGGGGCGGCCTCCATGTCGCGTCTTCGCGGGCTGGCTTGACGGTGCAGATCGAGCGGCGGGGACGCTTGACGCGGTAGTCGTGGCTTGCGTGTCGACGTTCCAGGACCCTGCACGACAAAGCTTTACCCATCGCGACACGACGTCGGAGCGCGAGCAGGTGTAGTTATAGATGGCGCGGTTGGGCATCGCCGGCGGCTCCGACTCGCGCGCACGGAGTCGGACCGAGCGGGAGACGGCGCGGGGGTTTGGGTTCCGGCGGGGGGACGACGCGCTAGCGTCGTCGTCGTGCTGTGGCTCGCACGCTCCCATGTTGTTGTACGCGTGCTGACGCTGGTATGCGTTTCCGCCGGGTGCGCGCGTCAGACACCCGTTGGCCTGGTAGGAGAGCGCGAAGACGTGTTAGGGACACACTCCCGGTTTCCGCCGCAGCTCGTGACATGCCGATGATTGCGCATTGGTAGCTGACTGGCGGTGTGCACGACAACTGGCTCACGCTGAACCAAAGCGTCTCGATCAGGACATAGGTGGCGCGGTATTCGCGCGGCGTCTTCGCCTCTTCGCGGGGGCGTCCCCTGGAGTGGGGAGCTCTCGAAGCTATCCTCCGTTTGTGCATGCGAGGAGGACGAACTCGTATTGGTGGCGGGGATGAGGCGCCGCATGAGCGTGTGCGGCGTGTCGCGGCCGACGTAGGTGGAGAACGGTCACCAGGAGCTCGCTACTGAAACAATGCGGCGGCGAGCGGTGAATGAACGCGTCGTGCGATGTATATTTTATTAATATTGTTACGCACTCGTGCGATGTAAAGTCTCTCCCCTACAAACCGACAGGTGCCCTATAAATATGAATTTTATAACTTAATAATAAGTTGTGTCTATCAATGTGCATTTATGTCTACATTATCCATATGGACGATCGTATATCTTGTTGAATAATCTTCTGGCAGCAATCAATTTAGCTAGCTTGTCTTTCTAGACGCTGCCTGCTGCCTGCCTGTCTGTTGTCTCTGCTGCGGTGGCTGATCTGTCTGTTCTCTGCCTGGCTGGTCCTTAGCTGGTTCTGTGCTGGTCTCTGTCTGCTGCTTACCTAGCGCTTGCCTGACTGTTTGTCTGTCTATGCTGTCTGGTCTGCTGCTGCTGCTTTCCTGCTGCCTGCTTTCCTCCCTGTCTGTCTTGTCTGTTCTGTCAGCCTTCGGCGCTGTTTCATCACTGCCTGCCTGCCTTCTCCGTGCAAACTCTACCCGCACAACCCGGTGATCTCTCCAGTTCGCGATTGTGGTTGAGTCCACGTGATTGCGCGGGTTGTCGCGTGAACAGCGAGTCGATGAAAGGGGGCAACGTGTAGGGGCGGGTCTCCGGATTCGCGCTTTAGGCGTGAAGGGCGCTAGTGTAGCGATGCCCCGCGGCGGCGTGCACACATCAGCAGTGTAGCTATGTACCACTGTAGTGATAGCCTTCAACGGCGATGTCGTGTACGCCCTGGTGGAACACGGGTTTGAACATAAGCCAGGGGCTCGGATGCATAACTTTTAAAAAAATAGTATATGACAGGAAATATGAATCGTAACAGGGCGAGAGGTTTCTGCGCGCTCATCTGAGGATTGTTTCGACCGATAGGGGTATAAAGGACGTAAATTCCGAACGGATCAAACGCAGATTCAGTCGGGCGTAGTAGCAATTGCTGTTTAGGCGCAGATAGGAGACACGCTGTTGCGTACCTCTTGTTAGGAACAGCGCCACCTATCGGCAGATGGAGGGTAGGGGAGGGTGGGGGGAGGGGGTGGGGGAGGGTGGGGAAGGGGCGGGGGGAGGGGGTTGGGGAGGGGGAATGGGTGGAGGTGGGCGGGGAGGGGCGCTAGAGGAGAAAGCAGTGTCACTCCTTTGTTAACGTCAAAAATCCATGTTTAACCTCCTCTTCCGAGGTCAAAGGTATCCTGACACTTACTTTGGATGTCAGAGCAGAAGGGACATTTTCATGGTCCTTTAATAAGCCTAAAAATGCATAGGTTCACCGCTGAACAAAGTTTTCAGATCGCTCAGCGACCATGTCCTCAGAATGTTAAAATCTGCCCTGGTGCCCATTGACTTTGACTGTGACTCAATTTCGACGTGATGGCTTTTTACATGATGCTATACACGACTATCACGAGCCTAGGTCGTGCGTTTGATTTTGTGCCGCTATTCTGGGCATTTCTCCTATATTAAGTTAAGGAGGGTAATGTTCCCTTCTTTTACACTCTGAACTTTGACCTTTGACCCGAGTTAGACATGCCCAATCGTGTTTGAGCGATCCCCCCGACGTCACCGAATATCGTGACCGTACGCGAGCCGAGTTAAGGGATTATGTCGCCCAACCTGTTGACGGCCACGGACGGTCAGACGCACCGACGCGCCCGCTAAAGGCACGGACGCACGGACGGACGATCGTGCGATTCTCAGCTGCATCGTGACTATGTCAGATGGGGTGCTAATGGAACGATTGATGGAAGTATTAAAACAGTGCGCGGAGCGGACAGCGCTCGTCTAAGGTCTCTGCGGTAGACTGTGGTGAGTGGTGATTCTAGTAACCTGATTGAGTCCCAAATGTGTATACATAACGCTCAAAACATTGGAATGCACGGGATGTGGGTCTCAAGGATGTACTTCTCAAGCGATGTTTGTTGGGGATCTATATGAATTGACACGTATCTCTTGATCGTACGTTACCTCGGCATCTTCAGCATGTTGAAAAGATGAAGCTCCATGCGTACATAGTAGCGAACACTATTTGCAAGACAGATA